TGCATGGGCAGGCGAGTCGGCTCTTACTTCCTCCTACTCATCCTCTCCTTCCTCAGATTCATTGAAGTCAGCATTATCATCACCACCAGGTGCCACAGGCTCCTTCCCAGTAGTCATCTTGTCATCTCAAAACTTTCCCTCTCTCGGCACTTTGCCATCCACATTCAAATTTTCCGACACCCGAGCTGCCCTACAAAACCTAGTGATTAGTGAGGGGAAAAAGAAACCATACCTCTTCACCGGACATCGTGTAAACATCTCCTCGTGCATAAGCTTGGCCACGTCAAAGTTGTGACCATTTATAAAGCACCAAATTAAAGCAGCTCGAGGAGCATTCACTTCTATAGTGTTGGAGGACGGGAGTAGGTGGTTGTTGATGACATACAACCAGCACTTCCCTTCAAAGGTGAGTGCTGCTGAATGGAACTTCTTCCCATATTTCATATCCACAATTTCCTTGTCGGGTACACATATGGTTTCTAAGAATCTCTCCCACTAAGTATATTTTCTGCCATATAGTTCATAATAGTCGTCCAACTCCTCCACCGGTGCGGGCGGCTAGTATATCCTTCAAATAGCCTCAACAGAGGCATCCACAGCCTTTTTGCGCACTGTTACTACACCATCCACGTGTTCTTTAACATTGGTATAGAACTCACGCACAACCATCACATTCCCATCATTTGGTTCTTCAAAGAAGATTTGCAGCCCACGCCTGACTAGCTCATTATACAAGTTGGTATAGCCCAGTTGGAGCGACCCTATATCTATGCCCCTCTTCGGTATTGGTTTCTTGGAGGCCTTATCAGCAAAACAGTCCTGAGCCTTGGCGGAGACAAACCTGTTACTATCAAAAGGATGAGCAGGAGCTGAAGAGCGCCCTCTGGAGGATCCGGCTTGACCACTAGATGAAGCACTAGTGGCTTGGCGTTTCCTTGAGAGTGCCATAGTATCGGTAAGAAGAAAAACATCAGCACAACACAAAAGGTGTGACTCAATTGTGGTTACTCAGACTTCACCCGCACAATTGGTCACAATTACCATTGACACTCACTGTGGCACTTAAACAAATACTTTGTGGGCATCATTTATCATAACCCCCAATTAAATATGTTGTAACCCAATTGCTACCACAATTGCCCAAAATTCATCCAACTAAGTTAAGATATACAACTCCACAAACATCACCACCCACAAGCACTATGTATAAACTACAAATTACTTCTAAGAAAATAGAAGAAAAACTACTACAAAATTAAAAAGTCAAACAAAAATCCACAAAAATTAGCAAAAAGAAAACATTACCTGAAGTGGGAGGAGATTGTGAGAAGTGAAGAAGAGTAGTGGAGAGATTGGCTTGAACCTTGGGGAATTAGGGTTGGGATTATTTGGGAATGGAGTAGAAGGGAATTAGGGCTAAGATTTGTGGCGTTGGGTGTTGATAGGATAAGAGGGGAATAGTTAGGGTGGGGGGTAAACAAAATACATAATTAAAATACAAAATAAGAAAATAAAAAAATGTTAAGTTAAACAACTTGGCAGCTTGAACGGAACTAGCACGGTCCGAGCACGGCCGTGCTAGCAAAACATAATGTTTGGCCATATGCGCGATCAATAGCGTCGGCACACTCCTGGGTAAAACGCTGAGGCAGAATGTTTGGTCATATGCGCGGTCACTAGAGCGGGTGTGCTCCTAGGCGAAAAGCTAAGGCAGAATACGTGGCCATTTATGCGGCCACTAGCGCGGGCGCGCTCCTGGGCCTCAAAATTTTTCCACTTTTTTACCTTTTCCTTCAGTGCCTGATGGACTTATCCCTCGCCCAAGCTCACCTGCACTGGTTAGTACTTACCAAAATCAAAAATAACAAATACTAACTATACTAAAGTCACTACGCATTGGGTTGCCTTCCAACTAGCGCCTTAGTTAATGTCGTGGCACGATAATTACAACAAGTCAATGGGTTGCGTCCCAAGCAATGCCTGATTTAAAATTGTGGCATGATGTAGATGAGCGCATTTAAGGATCGCTCGACCTCTGAGGTTCTGTCAAATGGATCATTGACACTTCTTTGGTTTCATCCATGCCCACATATGGTTTCAATCTTTGCATTGACTCTAAATGTATGGGAATCTTTCTTTGAGGCAATCTTTATGGCACCTGAAGGGAGCACTTCGACCACCCGAAATGGTCCAGACCATCATGACTTGCGTTTACCCGGAAATAGCATTAATCTTTAGTTATAAAGCAACACCATGTCTACGGGATTGAAATTTCGCTCAACAATTTTCTTGTCGTGCAACATCTTCTTTCTCTGCTTGTATAACCTCGTGCTCTCGAAAGCAAGAAATCGGAACTCATCTAGCTCATGCAATTCTGTGACTCTATTTGTTCCAGCAGCCTCAATGTCCAGATTTAGCTGTTTCATTGCCCACCAAGCTCTATGTTCTAGTTCCACTGGCAAGTGACAGGCCTTCCCGAACACCAACTTGTATGGTGACATACCAATTGGTGTTTTGAAAGCGGTTCTGTAGGCCCAGAGTGCATTATCTAGCTTTTTGCCAAATTAGTTCTTGTGGCATTCACAATCTTGGTCAGCATACTCTTTATTTCTCTATCGACACTTTGACCTGTCCACTGGTCTGAAGATGATATGGGGTTGCCACCTTGTGACGCACATCGTACTTTTCTAGCAATTTCTCGAAGGCTCGATTGCAGAAGTGAGTGCCTCCATCACTAATAATAGCTCTCGAGGTCCTGAAATGGGTGAATATATTCTTCTTCAAAAACCCCACCACCACCCTTGCATCATTGGTAGGGAGTGTTGCAGCTTCCACCCATTTGGACACGTAATCTACAGCAACAAGAATGTACTTATTTCCAAAGGAGCTGACGAAGGGACCCATGAAGTCTATCCCCCATACATTGAACACTTCAACCTCTTGAATTGGGTTCATGGGCATCTCATGGCGACGGGAAATGCTCCCGGTCCTCTGACATTCATCATAACCCTTCACCCATTGATGTGCATCCTTAAACAATATTGGCTAGTAGAATCCGGCTTCTAAAACTTTTGATGTCATCCTGACTCTTCCAAAATGTCCGCCATATGCTGATGCATGACATGCCTACAAAACAGAAGATTGTTCTACCTTGGGTACACACCTCCGGATCATATAGTCAACATAAATTCTAAACAGATAAGGTTCATCCCAGTAATACATGCGACAGTCATGGTAAAACTTTTTCTTTTGCACAGAAGAAAGGTCATAGGGAACTATACCGCTTGCCCGGTAATTTGCAAAGTCTACATACCATGGCATTTCCTCAAGTCATGTGGCGAGTAGCTGCTCGTCTGGAAACGCTTCCAGAATATCATCTACCTCAACTGAGTTTTCAGCTCCTTCAAGTCGCGATAGATGATCAACGGCTTGGTTTTCCGTGCCATTACGGTCACAAATCTCTAGGTCGAACTCTTGCAGTAACAGCACCCAATGAATCATTCGTGGTTTGGACTCCTTCTTTTCAATCAAGTACCTGAGAGAAGCATGATCAGTATATACAATTTCCTTAGAGCCAATTAGGTATGATCTGAACTTGTCGAATGAGAACACCACAACCAGCATCTCCTTTTCAGTCATATTGTAGTTCAGCTAGGCTCCACTCAATGTTCTACTAGCATAGTAACTTGGGTGTATTATCTTTTCTTTCCGCTGTCCTAGCACTGCCCCCACTGCATAGTCACTAGCGTCACACATGATTTCGAATGGTTTCTCCTAGTTGGGGGAAACAATGATGGGTGCTGTGACTAGCCTTTTTTTCAACTCCTCGAATGCTACCCTGCAATCATCAGAAAACATGAAAGAGTGATCTTTTTATACAACTTAGAGAGAGGGTTGGCATTTTTTGAGAAGTCTTTGATGAATCTCTGGTAGAAACCGGCATGCACGAGAAAGCTCCTAATTGCCTTGACTGATGTGGGGGTGACAACTTTGCTATCACATCAACTTTAGCATGATCCACCTTGATTCCCTTGCTTGAAACCCTCTTGTACCATGAAATGACACTTTTCCTAATTAAGTACAAGGTTAGTCTCGATACATCTTTTCAACACTCGGGTTAGGTTTGTAAGGCACCCATCGAATGAATTTCCGACCACTGAGAAATCATCCATGAACACCTCCATTATGTCGGTGAATATGGCCATCATGCACCTTTGGAATGTGGCGGGTGCATTACATAAGACAAAAGGCATCCTGCGGAAGTCATAAATCCCATATGGACATGTGAATGAGGTATTCTCGCTATCCTCGAGTGCAATGGAGATTTGGTTGTACCCTCAGTACCCCTCCAAAAAATAGAAGTGGGACCTCCCTGCTAGTCTTTCAAGCATCTAATCAATGAATGGAAGTGGGAAGTGGTCTTTCCGGGTGGCCGTATTCAATTTCCTATAGTCTATACAAATTCTCTAGTCGGTGACGGTTCTTGTAGAGTTCAGCTCATTGTTATCATTTTTTACCACCGTCATACCACCCATCTTAGGAACACATTACATCGGGCTAACCCAGTTGCTATCAGAGATGGGGAAAATGATTCTTGCATCCAACCACTAAATGACCTTTTTCTTCACCACATCCTTCATGTTGGGGTTCAGCCTCCTTTAGTGCTCCCTGGAAGGTTTGTGCCCCTCTTCCAGGTAGAATTTTATGCATACAGTATGCCAGGATAATCCCCTTAATGTCTGCCATGGTCCACCTGATGGCAGTCTTGCACTCTGTGAGTACCTGCAAAAGCTGTTATGCCTGCACATCTAACAAACTAGATGAGATAATAACATGTAATGTGAAGTTAGGTCCTAGAAACGCATACCTGAGATGGGCGGGCAGTGGCTTCAACTCCAGCTTTAGTGGTTCTTCTATGGATGGATTGGCTGGAGGAGTTTCTCTCTTTTCTAAGTGCAGGGGCTCGAATTCAAGTGTTCTCTCCCAAAACCCTCTGCCCTCTAGAGCCAGCGCCCATTCACCTCATCTAAATTTCTAGCGAATACACTTCGTCGCCTCATAGATTTCTGCATGTTGAATGTTATCTTCTCATTGTTCAACCTCATCTTGAGCACCCTAGTTTCAAAATCAATGAGGGATCGCCCTGTGGCAAAGAACGGACTTCCTAAAATTATGGGAATTTCTTCATCCACTCTACAATCCAGAATCACAAAATCTGCAGGGAACACAAATTTCCCTACCTGTACTAACACGTCATCCAAAATACCTGAGGGTATTTTCACAGTCCTGTCATCCAACTGCAACAACATAGACATGGGTCTAGCTCTCCCAATCCCTAACCTCTTGTAGATCTCCAGGGGCATAAGATTCATGCTAGCCCCCAAATCACAGAGTGCCTTAGCAAAGGCAAAGTTACTAATGGTGTAAGGAATTGTGAAACTACCTAGATCAGACAACTTCTCAGCAACTGGTCTAGTCACCACAGCACTGCAGGTCTGAGTTAGAGTCACTATGGAAAAATCTTGGAAGTCAAATTTTCGGGACATCAAGTCCTTCATCATTTTTGCTTAACCAGGCATCTCCTTCAAAGCATCAATCAATGGAATATTTACCTGGATTTGTTTTAACATCTCCAAGAATTTCTTGTATTGTTTCTCTTTCTGGTATTTGGCCAGACTCTGTGGTAATGGTGCCAGAGGTCTCTTCTTCCTAATGATTTGGGATTTCTCTTTGTCAGCCACCACCTCAACTACCGGTTCCTGGACTGTCTCAGCTTCTTTCTCAGCCTCAATTTGTGTGTTTGTTTCTTCCTGGGCAGGCTGTACTGTCACCTCTGTCAGTTTTGCTGAATCAACTAGCTCAATGGGCACTGGTACAAGTGCCTCGGCCTGTCTGCTTTCTCGATCCCTCTCTTGCTCCAAGTCTAAGTCTCTGCCATTACGTAGACTCACTACCATCAATTGTTTCGGGCCTTGATCTTTTGGATTTACCTGGGTGTCTGCGGGCAATGTCCCATGAGGATGATTATTTAAAGACATCGAGATCAGGCCCATTTGCACTTCAATATTCTTTATGGCTGACTCATGTGCATCTACTCTTTCACTCATTTTCGCATTTGACCCAATAACCTACTGCATCATTGCCTCGACTCTAGCAAACCCATCTTCTTGTCTTCCACCATGTTGCTGCTGAGGAGGATGATAACCTTGTTGCTGATTTTGGTTGTTGTATCCCTGTGGCCTTTGGTAGGGCGCCACATTATTGTGAGGTGGCATGGCTCCTATATTTCCATTGTTGTGTTATGGCTGGGCTGGCCTGTATGGCTGATTCTGTTGGCCCCAATTCTGACCACCCTGTCTCTAGCCCCCATAATTAGACACATAATTCATGTCCTCAGAGTAATGATGATGATCATTTTCCGCATTCCACTGGATACCAATTAGCTGACTAATGCAAGATGTGCATAAGCCCCCATTGGTTGTATCTACAATGTGCACCTGTTGCTTCTGCCCTGACTCTTCCACCTTTTTGGTGAGTATGCTCATTTGTGTCATTAAGGTGGCCATATTTTTAGCAAGAGTGTTGGCTGGATCTAAGGACACTGAGTGAACTATTGGGGTGATAGGTGCATTCCTGGTTGTCCACCCCGAATTTTGTGCCATCTTGTCAAGAAGGATCTAGTTTTCTCTCCATGATTTGCTCAAGAATGCTCCACCAGCTGAAGCATCAACATTAGCCTTCACGTTATCTATTAGACCCATGTAAAACTACTGCCCTAACATCTGGTCTGGAATACCGTGGTGTGGACATATAACCAACATCCCTTTGAATCGTGCCCATGTTTCTTGTAATTTTCCATTGGTTTCTATCTGAAGCTCAAAATTTCATCAATTTGCTGAGCAGTCTTGTTAGGTGGATGAAACTTATTCACAAATTACTTGACTAACTCCTCCCATGTCGTGATGGAATTAATAGGGAGTGAATTTAGCAAAGTCTGGGCAGCTCCTATCACTGAAAATGGAAATAACAACAACTTTATTGCTTCCTGAGTTACGTTGGCCTGCCTTTGAGTTTTACAGATTGACAGGAAATTCTTCAAGTGTTGTTAAGGATCTTCAATGTATGACCCTGAAAATAGTCCCTTGTTTTGCAACAAGTGCAGCATGTTGTTTGTGATTTGAAAAGATTCAGCCTATATCTGTGGGACTAATATCATTGTGGCCAAATTCTTTGTTGTGGGTTGCTCCCAATCATATAGAGGATCTTCTGGCACTAGAGGCGCCACTACCTGCACAGCTGGGTCTACTACGTTATCCCCGTTGTTGTCTCTGTTGTTTACCTGGTCTGCTATGTCTGGTTCAGGTTGTTCAATTGATTGTTGTTGTTTGTTTTTCCGGTTGGCCCGATTCAAGGCCTTGAAAACTTTCTCAGGATTTGATAATGCTTCAAACACTTCACTAGTTCTCGATGAGTTTCTAGGCACGGACTTGTATAACAAAGTTAACAAACGTTACAATTTCAATGTATGGATTGAAAATAAAGAAAACTGATTACACTAAGAATTTTTGTATTTCTTTCAACTGTAATTGATAACACCGTTAACTCCCCGGCAACGGCGCCAAAATTTGATCACGTCCAACTATGCCTTATAAAAAGGACAAGCGGTCATTGCAAATATAATCCGAGTATTTAGCCTAGAGTCGAATCCCATACGGAATTAACCTACCAATTACTTTTGTCAGACTCGCTGAATCCTCCGTAATCAATTTCCCAGATAATTTGAATAACACTTGGTGATATTTCTACTAACTATAACTGAATAAAATTAAGTAAACTAGAAGCTAACTATGACTGAGGTGTAAATAAATAAGAGACGGTTGTAATTTCCCCTATTGATGGAATCCATTCCTGTTATGTTTCACATAGATTTGCCTAATCATCTCTATCGATCATGAGCACTCTTACTACTTTAAATCACTCCCGAGTAATTACGATAATTTACTAGATGCACTCTCCCGAGTTACGCTAGCTGGCTTTTATTATAGCTCACTTAGATCGCACCCAAGGTTTCGTTATCCCTAATTCCACCTTTAAACCCTCGGTTATTGATTCCTCATATACTTTGGGAGTGGTATTGTTCAACAACTACCTAAATATGCACTCTCTCACGAGTAATACATACTAAATAGCCCCAGCTAATTGAGGATCATATCAATTAACTACAACAAGAACGTAGTTGAACAAATAGAGATTAAACTGGGCAAACTATATTAACACAACAAGAAGTTCATCCCTCAACAAGTTCCATCAAAACGTTAAACTAAATAATTAGCTACTCATAATCGTATTCATAATAACAACAACAAAATTCATCATGAATGATAAATACAAAAGGAAGAAAGGTAGAACTTAGTGTCGAATTATCCTCCTTGCCTCTTTTTGCCTTCAACAAAGCTATAAAAACCTTGATAATCTCTTTTTGGGTGAGCTGGACCACTTATAGGTCAAGTGGAATTACCCCCAAACTTCCAAGTTTACCCCTGAACTTTCTGCACTCCGAAGTGACTAGCGCGACCGTGCTCGAACCGCTCTAGTAGCCGCACATATGGCTAAGTGTATTGTCCCCTTTTCTGCTCTAGCGCGGTCGCGCTAAGGCCGCGCTTGGCCTGCGCTAGAGTGGATCAGTATTTTCTCTCTTCTATTCTTTCTTCTTTAATACGTACTCAGCTCTGAGGAGCTTCCATTGCTTTAGTTTAGCTCCAAACATTGTCCTAAGTCTTCATAAGCACAACTTGCTCCTGTAAAACATGAAATTCACAATTAGAGCCAATTTATCGTCATTTAACCTTCCTAGAACGGTGCAGCATAGTCAAGTTGGGGTATAAATAGTTGCCAAACTACATAAATCTAGCCTATTATCAGTTGTCTAGAAGCATGTGCTACAACCTTACCATGCTGCATCAGCACACAACCCAGCCCGACACCTGAAGCATCACAATAGATAACGTAACCATTGGTCCCTTCTGGGAGCGTTAGAACCGATGTTGAAGTTAATCTGTCCTTCAATGCCTGGAAACTCCATTCACAAGCGTTAGTCCATTGAAATTTTGCTCCCTTCTGAGTCAACTTTGTCAAAGGTGCCAAAAGGAAAGAAAACCCCTCTACAAATCTCCCGTAACAGCATGCCAAACCGAGAAAGCTACGAAACTCTATCGGTGTTATGGGTCTAGGCCAAGTCTTTACTGCCCCCATCTTTTGTGTATCTACCCGGATGCCTTTGCCCGAAATGATATGTCTAATGAAAGCTACAGAGTTCAAAAAAAATTCACATTTAGAGAATTTTGCATACAACTTCCCTTTTTGTAAAACTCTGAGCACAGTACGCAAATGATCTGCATGCTCAGCCTCTGAACGAAAATACACTAATATATCATCGATAAATATAATTATGAACAGATCTAAAAAGGGCCTGAACATACGGTTCATCAAATCCATGAATACTGCTAGGGCATTTGTCAAACCGAACGACATAACACGAAACTCAAAGTGCCTATATCTGGTCCTGAATGTTGTCTTTGGAATATCTTCCTCCTTAACCCTTACCTGCTGGTATCCGAACCTCAAGTCTATCTTTGAAAAACACATGTCACTTTGCAACTGATCAAATAAATCATCAATCCTCGGGAGCGGGTACTTATTCTTGATCGTCACCTTATTCAACTATCTATAATCAATACACAACCGTAAGGAACCATCTTTCTTCCTTACAAATAACACAGGCGCTCCTCACAGGGATGTACTAGGTCTGATAAAGCCTTTTCAAGCAAGTCCTTTAGATGTTCCTTCAACTCTTTCAGCTCTATGGGGGCCATTTTATATGGAGAAATAGATATTGGATGAGTATCTGGTAGTAGTTCAATAGCAAACTCAATTTCTCGCTCTGGTGGAAGATCTGGAAATTCATCAGGAAAAACATCGGGAAACTCATTAACCATAGGGATGGACTGAATGTTTGGTGACTCTACATCCATATCCTAAACCCAAACTAAGTGATAAATACAACCCTTTCTGATCATCTTCCTTGCCTTGAGATAGAAACTAAATCTACCTCTCGGCAACACCATATTACCTTTCCACTCCAAAATAGGCTCCCCTGGAAATTGAAATCGGACTATCTTTGATCTACAATCAACGTTGGTATGACAAGAAACCAACCAATTCATACCCATTATAACATCAAATTCTACCATGTCTAACTCGGTTAGGTCCGGTACGGTAGATTGATTATTAATTACTATTATACAACCCCTATATACTCGCTTAGCTATCACTGAGTCTCCAACAGGTGTAGACACTTCAAAAGGTTTAACCAATTCAGGTTTTATTCCAAACTTACTAGCAACCAACAGAGTAACATATGATAAGGTGGAACCTAGGTCAATCAGTGCATATACATCATATGAGGAGACTGATAATATACCTGTAATAACATCATGTGATAACTCCTGGTTCTGTCATCCCGCCAACACATAAATACATTTCTGAGGACTGCTCGAGCAAGATGCTCCACCTCTACCTTTACCATGACTCATTGGTGCTTGTGGACCTTGCCCAAGGGGGTGTATTAATGATGACAAACCAGCTACAGATCCCGCTGGCTGAGCTATGCTTGCATCACCTCTCGTTGGACAATCCCTCATAACGTGGCCTGGATAACCACAAGAATAACAAACACCTAACCCCATACGGCATTGCCCGACATGCTGCATACCACACTAAGCATATCATGGCAAGGGAGGCCTCATCTGACTTGACTCACCCCTATATTGAGAACCTAAGGCCCTGAAATTTTGACCAGACCCTAAATATGTGGAACGATCAAATATCTTACTGCCAAACTAAGGGGGCACGCTAGCCGGTGGCTGGGCTGGATACCTCGGGTATTGTTGCCTCTGACTACCTCAAAACTCACCAGAAGGACCCAAAGACCTCGCTCTCTTATTCTGGGCCCTATCATGCTCACGATTCATCCTCTGCTTCTGCTTACGCTCCT